AAAAATAATTTCAGTTTTTTAATAAAGAGAGCAGCTAGACAGTCTATTTCTACCTTGCTTTCCCTTCCTAATAACAGTGCTGTTTGTTATATGGAATTTTATTAAATCACTCTAAGAATGCTGGTTCTCCAATGACAGAGCAGCATCTAGCCACCGAGGAAACAGCATGTGGCCAAAGGACACAGCATAAGCCAGGCACAGGTGGCTCATGCCCATACTCCTAGCTAGTCAGAAGCCACCCCGGTTCTCAGGCACTCTGGGAAGAAAAGTTAGTGAGACCCTAACTTCTACTAATCACAGGAAAACCAGAAATAGTGCTATGGCTCAATGGTAGAATGCTAGCCTTGAGCAGAAGAAGCCCAGGAACAGTGCCCAGCACCTGAGTTCAAGCCCCAGGTCAGGCAAAAAAAGTGGATCTTGCAGTCAATGACAAAGAAAATTGTAGCCTATAACAAAGCAGGAGGCAACCAATGACAATCAGGATGCAGTCATCGCAGAGATGTGTATACAAGATGACACAAATTCTTCCATCCTGTGATCTCCATGATTCTACTCTGTGACAAGCAATGGGGCAAAGGCACAACGGAGATCAGTGTCCTGATTTAGACAACAAAAGAAACCTTCCAAGATAGGGTTGTGGAGAGAGTAAGTCCCTGCAGGTCCCGTCATCCATCACCACTGGATTTTCTGGAGAAGTGTCATGAGGAAAAGACCTGCTGTTCAGTCTGGAGCCCACTGGACATTGGGTATTTTATTCTATTCTATTTTTTGGTCAGAGACCAGGACTGGAACTCAGTATCTGATGCTTTCAGTCATCATCTGATGCTCCACAAGTCCCCTATCCCGCCTCTGGACACTCAACCTAGTTTGAAATCTACTCCCCCTGTTATCCTTCCTGTTCACGGTCGCTATACACAGTTGGCTCTCCTGATAGTAAGTATTGATCCTTGACTATAGTTTAGAACTTAATATTTACTGTTTGTGTGTCTTTAGCCAATTTGTGGAGTGAAATCCATTTGATTATCATGTGTGATCTTTACATTTCCTTACTGTTTTCTATTTTACTTGACACTGACAGTGTTCTTACCATGTTTTGATATTAGGGAAATTCTGTTTTCAGCACCTAAGTTCTCAAGAGTCCCCTCTCTGTTATGAAATTTTTGGAAAAGCCTCTTCATTAAGGGTTTGAGAGTTTTTGTTTGACTTTTCTTTGTCATTGTGTTGGTTCTGGGGCTTTAAGGGAAGACCAAGTTTGTGTGCTTAAGCTTTTGCACATGACCTATATAATAATTTTTTAATTTTATTTTATTGTAAAGATGTTGTACACAGGGGTTACGGTTAAAAGAGTCATGTAATGAGTAAATTTGTTGTTGAGCATTGTTGTAATAATTATTTTAAATTACAGTCCCTGAAAAAATAAAATAGAGACCCTGGGAATGTGGCTTAGTGATAGAGTGCTCTCCTTGCATGCATGAAGCCCTGGGTTCCATTCCTCAGTACCACAGACACAGAAAAAGCTGCAAGTGCCACTGAGACTTAAGTAGTACAGCTCTAATCTTAGGCATACAGAGGCTCAGGGACAGTGCCCAGGCCCTGAGTTCAAGACCCAGGACAGGCAAAAATTTTAAAAATAATAAAATAGTCTTTCCCATAACAAAAACCAAAGCCAGACACTTTTATAAATGAAGACCGTCGAAGCTTTCAGAAGGAACAAACACCAATGCTTCTCAAACTACAAAGGGGACCACCTCCACAAGTTACAAAACAAGGGGAAGAAAGATGACATTGATGAAGCGTCTTCGTATTCTTATACTGCTTTGTGGAAAGGCAACTCCTCTGTACAACTACTTAAAGATTAAAAACTAAAACTAAATAAATAAAACAAATATGTACAAATCAACAATACTTCACATAAAGAGATAAGATCTGAAATCAAAACTTAACATTAACTGCACCCCTCAAAAACACATTTGAAAAAGAACAGAAGGAACATGATCATATCAATACATGCACAAAAAACCTTTAAAAAATTTCAACAAGACTTCATTTTTATTTGTCATCATGGGGCTGAACTCTAGGCTGGGGCACTGTCCCTCAGCTCTTCAGCTCAAGGCTAGTGCCCTATGACTTGAGCCATAGTGCCACTTCCAGCTTTTTCTCCTTATGTAGTACTGAGGTATCAAACACCAGGGCCTCATGAATGTGAGGCAAGCACTCTACCATTCAGCCACCTTCCCAGTTCAGCAAGACTTCATTTTAAAACCTCTGAAGGGATTAGGAAGACAGTGGGACATGCCTCAACTTCACAAAGCTTATGTGTGATAAATCTATAGTTCACACTGTCCTAAATGGGGAAAATTGAAAGAAGTCTGCATAAGGAAGGAAGGTAAGGGAAGTCAACGATCTCCACTCTCTGATGCTATGAATATGGACTTGATCTCTATCACTCTATTTCACTGAGAAGTTTGATGAGTACCAGTATTAATCTTGAAAAGTCATGCAGATTTCACCCATGAATCCCCTTGTTCCTGGGATTTTCCTTTTTGGAAAGCAGCCCATTATTTCTTCAGTCTCATTGCATATTATGGGCCTGTTTGACAGGTTTATAATTTCCTGGTTCAGCTTTAGCAATTTGTATACATTTCTTCTTGATTTTCCATCTTATTTGAATATAGGTTTTGAAAGTATTCCCTCATATCCTTTTGGATTTCTTGGGTTTTTTTGTGGGGGGGTCTGGTCATGGGGTCTGAACTCTGGGCCTGGGCGCTGTCCCTCAGCTCTTTAGCTCAAGGCTAGTGCTCTACCACTTGAGCCACAGCGCCACTTCTGGCTTTTTTCTTTTTGCTTATGTGGTGCTGAGGAGTCGAACCAAGGGACTCAGGCATGCAACGCAAGCACTCTACCAGTGAGCCAACTTCCCATTCCCTTCTTCTTTGTTTTTTGCAATGTTTCTATTAGAATTTCTAATTTAGTTAATTTGAGACTTGTCTTCACTGATTCATGTAGTGGTCTGTTAAGTGTATTGATTTTTTTTCAAATGTCACCTTTTGGTTTGTTGATTTTATGCAAGAGTTCTTTCTTTGTGAGTACTGGGTCTTATACTCAGGGCATGAGCACTGTCCCTAAGCTTCTTTTGCTCAATGCTAGCACTCTACCACTTGAGCCACAGCACCACTTCCCACTTTCTTTGTTTATGTGGTGCTGAGGAATTGAATCCAGGGTTTTATACATGCTAGGCAAGCACTCCACCACTAAGTGACATTCCCAGCCCCTATGTACAGATCTTTTAGTCTCTAGTTTATTTAGTTCTCCCCTATTCTTTTTTTTATATGGGGTCTGAACTCTGGGCCTGGGTGCTGTCCTTCAGCTCTTCAGCTCAAGGTTGGAGCGCTATCACTTGAGCCACAGCAACACTGTTGTTTTTTTTTCTGCTTATATGGTGCTGAGAATCAAACCCAGGGCCTCATGCAAGCAAGGCAAGCACTCTAACACTGAGCCACCTTCCCAGACTCCCTGTTCTTCACTGTCTCTCTCCATCTGGTAGTTTGTTGTTTGGTTTGTTCTTGTTTTTTAAGCACCATTAGTTGCATCATGGGGTCATTCATTTGTACTGCTTTTCTGTTCTTTATTTGCACAATTTGTGCTATGAAGTTTCCTCTCAATGTCGCTTTTGTAGTATCCTTAAGGCCCTGCTGTGATATGTTTTCATTTTCTTGACTTGTAACACCTTTCTGATTTCATCTTTTATTTCTTCAGTGACCCACCTGTTGTTCATATGTGTGAGAGTTTTCTGCAGTGTTTTGTTATTGAGGAGCAGTTTCATTCCATTGTGATCACATAGGATACGAAAAGGTATCTCCATCCTTTTGGTTTTGCTCAGACTTGATGTGTGTCCTAGGATATGGTCAGTTTTGGAGATTATTCCATGCACCACTGAGAATATGCATTGTGTGGTTGTTGGTTGAAATACTCTGTAGATGTCCACTTGGATACTGTGGTCATTTAATTCAGAAGTTTCTTTGCTGATTTTTTTTGTTTGACATATCCTTTGATGAGAATGAGATATTAAAGTCTCCCACTATTGTTGTGTTGGGGTATATCATGTTCTGTAAATCTAAGAGTATTTCTCCAATGTATTTATGCCCTCCATTGTTTGGTGCATATTAATTTTAACCACTTGTGGATGATGTCATTTGTTAATATGTAATGGCTTTCCTTGTCTCTTCATAGTGATGTTAATGGGAAGTCTATTTTGTCAGAAAAAAATATGGCTACATAGCCTTTCTTCCAAGATGCATTTTCATGAAATATCTTTGTCTAAGCTTTTACTCAGAATTTGTGTTTTTCTTTTGACTATGAAATGACTTCGTGGGAGACAACAAAATTGAGATGAGCCAGGTGCTGGTGGCTCACACCTGTAATCCTAGCTACTCAGGAGGCTGAGATCTGAGGATCCTGGTTCAAAGCCAGCTGGGGCAGCAAAGTCCGTGAGACTCTTATCTCCAATTAACCACCAGAAATCTGGAATTGGCACTGTGGCTCATCTTGAACTGAAGAGCTAAGGGATAGTGCCCAGGCACTAGTTCAAGCCGTATGACTGAAAAAAAAACAATAAAACAAAAACTCAGATGAATTATTGGATTTTGTGTTTTGGTCCAATCTACTACTCTACCTCCTTTGGTTGGGGAGTTGAACCCATTGTTATCTATAAAGAAACATGTCTCATGCCGGGCACCAGTGACACATGCCTGTAATCCTAGGTCCTCAGAAGGCTGAGATCTGAGGATCTTGGTTCAAAGCCAGCCCGGGCAAGAATGTCAGTGAAACTCTTATCTCCAATAAACCACCAGAAAACCGGAAGTGGCCCTGTGGCTCAAGTGGTAGAGCACTAGCGTTGAGCTGAAGGGACAGTGCTCAAGCCCAGAGTTCAAGCCCCACGACCAATAAAAAAACACAAAAACTGTCTCATTTCATGAGATTTTGTTGTTTTCCTAGTTCCCTAGTTTTTCAATATTACTACAGAGACTTTGAGGAAAGAAAACTTTCTAGCATATCCTATGTGCTAGTTTATGACCCCTGTGCTGTGGGTTCCTAGAGTCCCCAAGCCCTGGTGTATCAGATGCTATACTCTGCAGAGCCAGGGCACCCTGGTCACCCAGGGTTTCAAAGCCCAGTGGGAAAGGCAGAAAGCATTCTGGGTTCTGCTCCAAGCTCAGGATGCATCCAGGGCTGTAGGAACCAATTTTTAATAACCAGCTACATCCTGAAGTTTACTTTCTGACGAGTTTGACTTATATTATTCTGATCCATGAACATAATATGTTCTCTAAGCAATTCCTTCGGCACCTGGGAGACTGATTGCCTCTCCTGTGGCGACATCAGATTGATGCCCCGTAAACAAGGCTGTCCAGACAGCAGGAGACACTGATTGACGTCCACTGGTAGAAGCCTCATCACCCTGATATGGTACATAGACGAGGCTGGGCACAAGCAGCCTCAATGCCAAACTGCCTCCAGGAAGCTGTGCCCAGTGAAGAGCATTGCGAAGCTTTCAACCATGGGAAGAACATGAGGTAGGAAAAAGTAAGAAGACTTCATCATCCTCTTACCCCAACCTTACAACATTGCCTGCTATACATGTTGAGATTTGAAACTGGGTTGTAATAATGTTTCCTGAATGGAACATATATACTTCAATGTTTTGTAGATTGACTTTATCTTCAGTAACCCAGGAAAGGAGTAAACTCTATTTATAAGGTATTGATTGAGCTACAGATGTGATTTATATGTATGTATGCATGTATGTTTATTTGATGATCAATTGCCTGTCTGTGGCTTGAATCAGGGCCTGGGCACTGTCCCTGAGTTTTTGTGCTCAAGGCTAGGACTCTATCACACAAGCCACAGCTCCACTTCCAGCTTCTTTGGTTATTTATGAGAGATAAGAGTGTCACAGACTTTTGAAGTCTGTTGGCTTCAAATCATGATCCTCATGTCTCAGATTCCTGAGTACCTAGAATATAGGAGAGAGCCACTGATGCCAATTTACAGATGGTTTTCTTTCTTTTCTATCTTTTTTTTTTTGATCAGTCATGTACTTGAACTCTAGGCCTGGGCACTTTCTCTAAGCTCCTCTGATCAAAGCAAGCACTCTACCACTTGAGCCACAGCACCACCTCCGGTGTCCTGGTAGTTGATTGGATATAGGAGTCTCACAGACTTTCCTACCCAGACTGGCTTTCAACTGTGATCCTCGGATCTCAGCCTCCTGAGTAGCTAGGATTACAGGTGTAAGCCACTGGCAGGCTTCCCAGATGTTTTTCTTATAGCTTATCAATTCTGTGAAATGATGGATGTTAGAATTGCACTCTTACCAGTTTTATCATTTTAATTTTCAGTATTATTTTGTATTTTTATTATAAAGCTAATATACAGGGTTACTATTTCATAAGTCAGGAAATGAGGATAAATATCTGTCGGTTGTGAGGCTTTCACTCAGAGTGCACATGCTGTCCCTGAGATTTTAAGCTCCAGGCTGTGCTCTGCTACTTTAAGCCACAGTGCTTCTTCTACAGTACATCTCTTTTTGGGTAATGTCACCCTTACCTCTGCCCTTCCCAGTTCTCCCATCTGCCTAACCACAAGTTATGTAGTTCCTTTTCCATATAGTGTCTACTGAGTACCATTGATGCATTCGTTCACCCTTTAACTGTCATAATGACCACCAGACTCTCCAAACAGCAAGTGGATTTATTCCTCCAACCTCAATGTAAAAATTTGAGTACCACAGGTGCAATGCTAGTGAAATCATAGATTTTTTTGGGGGGGTCTGGTCGTGGGGCCTGAACTCTGGGTCTGGGCGCTGTCCCTCAGCTCTTCAGCTCAAGGCTAGCGCTCTACCACTTGAGCCACAGCGCCACCTCCGGCTTTTTGCTTTTTGCTTATGTGGTGCTGAGGAATCGAACCCAGGGCCTCAGGCTTGCAAGGCAAGTGCTCTACCACTGAGCAACCTTCCCAGCCCTATAGATATTTTAACATGATAATGATAACAAGATCTCTGCATGATCAAAACATTCATCTTTTACATATACTGAATCTATTGCATGGTAGATTTCCTAGTTCTCTTGCTATATATTCATCACTTCCAGTGATCACTGCTTAGAAGAAATAGGTGAGCTGAAGCCTACTTTGAATCTTAGTTGCCTGTTCCATTGACCCAGTTTTATATCATAGTGCAAGACGTATTTGTGTAGATTTTTGTGTCATTTCTGAAGGGTTAAAAATTAGGAACCTCACTTCACTATTACCATTATTAACTTGCTAACTGCTGATTTTGCTTCTGTAAATATGCTTGCATTCAGACCCCCTTTTTCCTGGGAAATAAAATTGGGCAGTGACTCAAGAATATTGGCCGGCCCAGATGTCCGGATATCAGCCCACCCAGGACAAGGACAGCGGTTATAGATAGTACATGTTCTTCAGTTCCAGATTAATTAAGCCATCCGTGGGACAAACCTTAACGATGACCACCTGGCCAGACCATAAACCGGGTCAAATGTCAACCAATTATAGACCAACCATGAGCCAATTATGGTTTTTGCCTTTAAAAAGGCTTGTAACCGCTGCTCGGGGCTCCCTGTCTGCTTGGGACAGAGAGCCCATTTGCGCAAATGCCAAATAAACTCCTCTTGCTTATTGCATCTACTGGTTTGGAGTCTTGGTTCCTGGGGTGCCCTCCCGTTGAAGACAGTATCCCAGTGAGTCTGGGGTCTTTCAATTTCCTTCCAGATATACACTGGCATTTCATCTCTGGAGTCACATGATAATGACTGCATTTCATATCAAAGCATGCTAAAATAGAACCATGGTCAGCACAATGCTTCATAGAGTTTTCAGGGAGTATGTGAAACCATTTTCACATCTGGTATATTTGGCTGACTCCTCTTTTGAAGCTTATTTTATAAACATTTTACCCAGAAAATTTCCCCAGTTTGGAATTTCTTCACAAGAAGCATTCCACCTGGAAATCTTTCTGGAATGGTAAACATTTTTGGGGATGCTGGAGCTTGAACTAATAGTCTGTCCCTTAACTTTCTCATGCACTACTGATTAGATGTATTTTCAACTGAGACATTGTAGCTGGACACTGGTAGCTCGTGCCTGTAATCCTAGCTACTCAAGGAGTTGAGATGTGAGGATCATGATATGAAGCCAACCCAGTCAGGAATGTCTCTGAGATTATCTCTAATTAACCAGCATAAAGATCGAGGTGAAGCTCTTAGCTTTGAACGAGAATAAAACACCAAAAGGATATCATTCAAACACTGATTTCAAGCTGCAAGATTTCAAATGCACACGCGTGCTTACACACACACACACACACACACACACACACACAGGCACACAGCAAATATAATCTGGAGAGCAAAGAAAATTTCTTATAATATGCAAATTTCTGTGTACCACAGGCCTACAGTTCTCCTAGCAAAGGCACTAGGACCCATGGTGTCAGCCAGGGTTTCCCTCCTATAATCTCATCCATTTCTGTACTCAAAATCCTCTGGAACCTTTGAGATTCCGTTCTGGAAGTGCCACTCGTTGGCCTGAAACTGATTTTCATCGTCCTCATATTCTTCCTGAAGAATCATTTAGAATGGATCGATAATCTTGTGCACTGCTTTTTCATTCTGGAATCAACTGTCTGGCTGCTCTATACCTCAGACCTTAGAATGCCATTCACAATTATCTCGGGTGTATCAAAATGGGGGCTTTTCCTCATAGCCCAGCTGTTCATCAGTGTAATGGGGAACTACCTGCTCTCCATGCTCTATCTGTACATTTCATTCCAGCGTCATCTGAAGAAGCCCATTTCCTTTTCTTTATAAAACTTGCTCATCAAGCTGCACCAGTTAACTACAGTTTGGTAAATTGTTATTTAACAATTATGACATCTGCAATGTTTTATAAAGCAACTAATTTAATAAAAATCACTGCTGTGAGGACTTAAAAAGAAGATTCAAACTAGGCATAGCATCACCCATTTCCCATATTCAGTGATGACAAGAATAAAAGCAAAGAAAATGCCAGAGCCCCCCAACAGATCCAGAAAATTGACCATGCGATAGGTTCAGTAGGTGTAAGTGATGAACATTTTTATCATACAGAAATGGTAAGGTTATCGTTGCCATGATAAAAAAAAATCTCTATGATGTCCAGACATATCAGGTGTCTAGGTAAGAATGTCAGTTAAGTACTGAAAAATTTCCATTGTGGTTGGATGAGTACAATGACTTTCTGTTTGGACAGCTTGATTGTCCATTATGAAAATTAAATGTGAACAAATGTAACAGTGGTACTCAGTAGACTCTGTGGATAATGCAGTATGAAATTTGTGGGTGGTAATTGGATGAATAAACTTGGAGGGAAGGGATAACATTGTTAAAAAAAAGAAATATACTGATTACCTGAGTCGTGAAATGGTAACTCGTCTGTATATTACATTTATAATGAAAATAAAAAATAATAATGAAGCCTGGCACCAGTGGCTCATGAGTGTAATCCTACTCAGGAGGCTGAGATCTGAGGAGCCAGGTTCAAAACCAGCCCGGGAATGAAAATATGTAAGACTCTTATCTCCAATAAACCACTCAGAAAACCAGAAGTGGCCTGTGGCTCAAGTGATAGAGTGCTTGCCTTGAGCTGAAGAGTTCAAGCCCCACAACCGACTATATATCTATATCTATAGACAATTAAAATTATAAAAACTTGGAAGAATGCAATACTAATTTCTATCATTCACAGAATCTATAAGATATAAGAAAGACATCTGATATGGAGTTGGGTGTGGGTGGCTCACACCTGTGATCCTAGTTATTCAGGAGGGTTTGATATGGGGATCATGGTTGGAAGCCAAACATGGTAGTGAAGACTGTGAGACTCTTATCTCCAATAAACTATAACACAAGCTGGAAGTCGAACTGGAGCAGCAAGATCCAAATTCCCTCATTGGCACATTAGCACCTAAGTGTCAAGGGGTTGAATAACAAGCACCAAAGATACACATTTCTGATTGTCCCTTTGGCAGAAGCGAAAGGAAAAGAAGTTGTGGTAAATCTGCCAGATCACCTTCATAAGTGGCCTTTAATCCCTCTGTAGGAACCATGCCTTTCTTCTTCTTTTTGGCTTTGCTTTGCTTGCTTCTGTGTTCTCACCACAAAGCACAGTCAATGAATTAGTCATCTTTTTCAAGTCATCAATTTCCAATGAAATTCACACATCTCGAACTAAGGCTTTCAAAAACCTGGCATAATAGAATGACTTTTCATCCTGTGTAATTTTACCTTTTAGTAACTTCCCAAATTCTGTGAAATCATCTCTTGAAGATGGGTTCATAGCATCTATCCCACAAACTGTATCATTCACACCACCAAAGGTTTCTGTTGCTAGTACAAGGT